GAACAGAGACCAAGGTGCCCATGCTAGTCTTTTAATTTAAATTACTAATGCACCTACCTGAAATAGTGCAGGACTGTGTTTAAGCTGCAAAATTACAGTCTAAACTGTTTAAACTATAGGCTTCCATCTGTTCCCCATATACCACCGTCATCACTAGTGAGGGAAGGTTTTAAAACAAACCCCAGACATGCTGGAATACATAAAAAGATGAATATAAACTAGAAAAAACCTTTAACGCTGGATAAATGGTGCTCTTATACAGGATGAAAGTTTAATTGCTACACACTTAGGTGCAATCCCACTTCACCAATATAGAATAGTAGTGTGATAGTAAGTGGAGCAGTATGGTTAAAAAAAATATAAAGTATACAAACGGATTAAATTGTTCCTTCCAATAAAGGATTATGGAATATGAAAGAGAAAGAATAAAAAGAAAAATGGTGTAGATTGTTTTACACAAACACTCTTCTAGTACAACAAATTCTTAAAAAGATCATATAGTGGTATCATAACCAGAACTGATCTATATGTTCAATTATCTTATACACAGAGTCCTATATAGTGGATGAGTTGCTTAAATATACATTGATCTTACAATGATAAATTATGCAAACTCAAAAGGTTAACAATTATGCAGAGTTTAAAAGGGTTGACAATTTATTATACAGCCTAAACAGTAAATGAGACAAACATAACACGAAATGCATAAAAAAGTGAGACGCTCTGCCTCTAACTCACCATCGGTTCCAGTAAGAGGCAGAGCTTCTCACTTTTTTATGTCCAGGTGCACTTGAAACCACTTTAACATTGGCAATGATGTGGAACGTTCCACCTCGTTTTTTCAAGTTGTGACCTGTGTCTTGGGAGGGTGCACTGCCAGTACCCTTTGCCCATCCAACACATCACGTTAGTTTGGCATCAGACATGAGGTAAGCAAATCTGAGGTCACAGGCCTATATAAAGTCACTTTGACCTCTCTTCATTGCCATGTCATGGTTATTGTTAGCCAAAGAGTGTGCTCCTTTATCCTTGGTATTTATTGTACCTAACTTGACTTTGTTTAATTGATTTTTCTGTATTCTGGTCTCCATGACCCATGACTCAGTTATACTTGTTTATCCTTCTGTCTCCTTTCTGATCTAGGCCTGTATCTGACTGTTCTATATCCTGTACATCCTATATACATTAAGACTGGCAATACATCTTTTCTGCACATATGATTCTTCTTGCCTCACAGTTAGGGCATCTTTTCTTGACAGATAGGAAACTGACAGTTTGTCATTGATCCTAGTGTGAGACTGTTGTACCAATATATAGTTACAATGTTAAAAGGTTTTAGGGTTTTTTGTTTTTTTCTTGTTCATTTTTTGGAGAAAGAAAATCCTTCTTTTAGGTAATGTGTTCAATCTTTAACAAATTAGGCTTAGTTATTAGCTACTGTCAGAGGCATTTGGAACAACTTTGAGCAGGAAATAGAAGATTGACATTTTGCCATTATTTCCAGTGTAAAACTAGCATGGTCCTTCACTAATGTGTGAATGGCCCTATATCTGCTGCATACGGATCCTTCAGACTGCAAAATCTGGACGTTATTTACAATTTTTAACCTTGTTTGGATTTTGCTAACCAGGATTCGAAAGGAGCCTGAGTTAGGTCTCCATTTCTGACCTGAATGCTTCAAATCCGGACCCAAATTAAAAAAGAATCTGAACTATTTTTTTCCACTGGCAGCACTAGCACCATAAATTAAATAAATAAAAAATAAATTTAAAATGTCTAGGGGCATTAGTATGATCCCATAATACATTATGGAGGATTGTAAAGCTCCTTTATGCCCCTGCCTTCTATGCCTCAAGTGGGGGAATATTTATTAACCAGTAAGCACTCAGCAGCTGTCCCTTTGCTAAAAGGCCAGGGTGAGGGCATTACATAATATTGGAGGGTGGACAGATATAGCAATAGAGTGTATATATTCAGAACATAACATACAGGGATATAATTTCTAATTAGTGGGGTAATAGCTGCTTGATCCAAGGAGACATCTGACTGCTATTCAGGTCAAGAAGGAATTTTTTCCTAGTTTGTGGCAAAATTGGAAGCGCTTCAGACATGGTTTTTTGCCTTCTTTTGGATCAACAGCAACAACATTTGTGAGGAAGGCTGAACTTGATGGATGCAAGTCTCTTTTCAGCTATGTAACTATGTAACTATGTAACATCGTCATCAAATTGCATTTGCCTTCAGAGAATAGCTGACGTTTTAGGTTTTTCCTTTGTTAGTTATTTCAAGTGAATTTGAACAATTTAATTGACAGTTTGGAACCTAGTTAAACTTAATACTACCTATACCTGTATAAATGATTTATCATAGATTTTTCATTTGTAAGCCTGTTTATGGTGTATTCCTTTTCTATTTATATTATTGTATCCATGTCAATTTTCCATGATGCATGTTGAACCTTCAGAAGTTCAAGTTTGTGTTAACAATAGTGGAATACAATATACAAAAAAAGATGACATTTACAAGGAACATTGCATTATTTAGTCGCTGTCAATCTTCCATTTAAAATGAGATTTTTTTTTCTTCATTTTATTCAAAACAATCAGCTAAATTGTATATATAGCATATATATATATATATATATGTCTTAGTGTGTATGTTCATGTGTGTGTGTAATATGTATAAATTGTTATTTATGTGTATCTGAGTGAGTGTGTGTGTGTGTGTGTGTGCATGAGTGTGTCTGAGAAACAAGCTTACTTGTCTGTAAGCCATACTTTCTTAGTAAGTTTCGGAAACTGATGGACAGTGGTAGAGAATATTGGTAATTTAGATTAGTGAGGTTCTGCAGTGTGACTAACAGATATACTATAACCCAGGCAGTTGTAGTTTATACATCTATAACCAGTATTGAATTTTTTTTGTTGTATTGTGAACTCATTTAAAACGAAAGCAATATAATATTAAATGCTTCCCAATTACATCGGGACTGCGTGCAATGACGTAACAGGCATATCGCATTGGGTGTACCCGGAAAGAGAAGATGAAAGTAGGACGCCGTTGACACAGGGAGTCCGTGCCTGCAAGGGAGATTTTCGGGCTCCACGTGTGTCCGGCATCTGATTCAAGTTAATTAGACCAGCAAAGGAAAAGCAAGCAGAAGCCTAAAAGAAAAAAGAACATTGACAACAACAAAGACTCCTCATATTCAGGAAAACCAGCTGAAAACCCACAAGTGGTTCCAGAATAGGAAGCAGCCGAAACTGAAGCAAGGCCAACTTCTGAAGTTACCATTTTCCTCAGACTATACTGAATTGCTACAAATGAAAGCTCCGCTCTGGTACTGATGATTTGATGAATACAAGTATTGATGATATTCCTTTTAGCTCCCTGTTATATGTGTCTTACAAGACTAATGTCTGCACACTGAGAGCAAATATATGCTGCTCTCTCACTACTATTTCACTATTTCTACTGATCTTGCTGCTGATTCTTTCTGGGACTAACAATTCATAAATTAAATAGAACTCTCATGATGCCAGATCTAAATGCTGGGCTAATACTGCTCTCCTTGCTAACCTGTGCGCTTTAAATTCTGTGAGATGAAACTCTGCAAAATTCATGTTCACCCACTTTTCAGTGGGGGGAAAAGCCCAACTAGACTATCAGCTTTTCAGACTAACACATTTAATTTCCCAGCTGTATTGTTAGCACTCTTTAAAACAAAGGCTGGACAGAGGCTGAGCTGCTTCTATACTGGGCTTTTGGCTATATGTATTGGGCTGCTTTGTGTTGCAATTCTGTTGAATAAACTGATCTAAATTTCACTCAGTCTGCAATATGCTCACAAAAGATGAATTTCCTAATATTATTCTCTCTGGACTATTCACTACTATATTCAAAGTAATCATTGTAGCTGGTTGTATGTTCAATGATAACTCATATATTCTGGGAATGTATTATATGATTGCTACACTGTCAAAGACTAATTTAGCAACTCACTGAAATATCTCAAAGTTATAACCATCAAGTATTGAAAAGGCCTTTAATTCATCAGATGAAGTCTTGTGATTTACCCAACAAAACATAAAGAAATAATATTGAATAAAACAGCGATCTAAGTGTGATCAAGAGCAGAGAAGAAAAAAATATATTGAAATGGCATGTAAAAAGGGAAACATGGAGAAAAAAAGACGCAAAACCACCACAGAAATCTGAAAAACGACTTTCAGGGTTCTTTATGCAAACCCCAACAAAAGATACTGAAGGAACTTAAATTGAAGTAGAGAATTAATTTCATTTTCAGCACTGAATACTGAATCTATGGCAGAACAGATTAGCAAACAAAATACTTTACAGGAATACTTCAAACAACTGCTAGAGACGCAAACGCAATGCCTCAGACAAGATATGGCAACAAATTTTAAAGAAATTAAACAAGACACAAAAATAATAACTGAATCAATTGGTGTAATGGAGGAAAAATTCAAATCCATTGAAAATCAATACATATCCCTTCAAGAAACAACCTCCAATTTAACAAATAAAATCAATAAGCTGGAACAAAAAATTTCGGAACTTGAAGATAAGTCGACAAGGTCAAATTTGCGCTTTCAAAGTATACCTGGGGAAAATGAAGTTGAGAAGTGAGAAGAATATTTAAAGGGATTGTTCAAAATATTACTCCCAGATATGTACCCTCTCAATAACTCTTTGGAAAGAGTACACCATATGTACAAACCAAGTAACATACCTAAGCAACACCCAAGGGATGTAATAGCAAACTTCCACTCCTTGAAAGCATGATGAGAAAATTCCTTGAAAATACCTGCCATACAGATATAATTTTCCTACAGGACCTCTCCTATTATACAAGATCATGGAAAAAATATTTTATCAAAGGTTGTTGGATTTCTCAAAAAACATAACATCAGGTTTCAATTGAGTTTCCCAGCAGCTCTAAGAGTAAATTGGAAAGGAGAAAGATTGTCATTTATCACCTTAGAAACAGCTACTACATGGATGGAGATCGGTGACTTTGACAAATATTTCCAGTTAAAATCTGAAGAGAAAGAAGATAGAGGAGGATAAAGGGGGAAAAAAAGAGAAAAAATATTCTCATATGAAAAAAATCAATAATGGACTTTTATTAATGGACTTTTATTTTTATGTTGTTTTTTTTTCCTACCCACAAATATAAAATAACATCACAGTGATAAGTAGCACTTAAATAAACAACACAATAAGTTATGATTGTGATTAAGGGAAGTATAAGTAAAAATATTGACACTAGATACATGATATCTAATTATCACAAAGGAAATGTATAAGGAAATTAAGATTAAAAGATATAAGACACAGCTCTAGGTTGATCCCTTGGAGGGATAAGGGAACAACCTTTAAACAAATTTGGGCTTAAAACCCAACTTGATTTTAGATTATGTTTATATGTTTGAATGTATATGTAGTATTAATAATACATTTGTACAGATGTGTGCCAACAGAGAGAGGGAGGAGTTTTACACATTGAGATGTTCAAGATGATCACGTTGAATGTCCAGGGCATGAACTCACCAGCAAAAAGGTCTTTAGTATATAATTACTTGATTAAAGAACACATTGATTTATGCTTTCTCCAAGAAACACACTGGAGAAAACAGAGAAAATAACCTGGGATGTGAAAAAATTCCAACTATTATTCATGCCTCATGCCTCCTTATTTGGAGAAAGGCTACAGGTTGAAATATTATATAAATTATGTGATCCATAGAGATTTTTAGTAGTGGTCTGCAAAGTAAATGAAAAAGTATATTCCTTGTGCAACATTTACCTTTCAAATAAATCCCCTACTACTTCCCTAAGAAAAATAATGGAAAAACTTAACAATTTATACTGGCTGGAGATTTTAACTCTGTGCTAGATCCCAAAGTAGATAAAAAGCTGATGAGAGGTGTTCATATTAACAAAATGGTTATCAAACAGGCAAAATCTCTAAGTAAAATTAAAAAGGAGTTTAATTTATGTGATATTTGGACAGTTTTTAATATCGATGGCCATGATTATACTCATTTCTAAAGAGTACATTTTTCTTACTCTAGATTAGATATGATCTGGACAGATCCTACTCTTCTGGATTTAATTGTAAAAACCGATATTATAGATATAACCTGGACAGACCATAGCAGGGTGGTATGTGAAATTGGAGCAGTAAAAAAGATCAAAGCAACATATACTTGGCGATTAAATGATAGCTTATTGAAATCAGACCTTAACATAAAATCAATTGAACTAAATATTAAAAGATATTTCAAAAAAATTTGACTGAAGACATATCTCCCACAACCCTCTGGTCTGCTTTTAAACCAGTAACCAGAGAACACTTCATTAAACTACAAGCCCAATCCAATAAGAATTTCAATTTAACTGAGCTATACAGCCAACTGGGAAAAATGCAATTAGCAAATAAAGAGAATTTAACTCTCTAACTCTCTAACTCTTTAAACAAATTTACTGAAATAAAAGATAAGCTCAAACAGTGTATTATGGAAAAAACTGTTAAGAATTTAGAAAGACTCAAATTGAAATTTTATTAAAAGGTTAATCATGCAGACAAAATATTATTTAAAAAACTCAGATTAAAAAAAGGAGCAAATAAAGTATTACAATGAATTGATAAGGATAGATTTTTGAAACACCTAAAGAAATAGGTCAACATTTTAATGATTTCTATAGCAAATTATATAATATACCATCATCTACAACTATAGTCGATATCAAACAAATAAACTCTAATTTACCTCAAATCACTGAATCGAATAGATGTTCTTAAATAAAAAAAACCTCAGAAGAAGTGATTTTGGCTATATCTAATTTGGAAAAAATTAAGACACCAGGCCCAGACAGTTTCAGCAACTTATTTTATAAGCTCTTCAAAGATCAAAGATCCAATGTCTTTAACCACGCTGTCCAAAGAAGATCCTTTCCAGCGGAGATGAATAGGGCAAATATTCTACCTATTTTGAACCAAAATTTGCCCTCTATGGATGTTCAAATGTATAGACCCATATCCCTTATAAATGTTGATGTTAAACTTTTTGCTTCAATCTTGGCATCTAGGTTGAAGAAAGTGCTACAAGCAATTTTACATTCTGATCAAATAGGATACGTCCCTGGAAGAACATCTTTCACCAATATATGTAGGACAATAAATATCTAGGATGATGCCTCCACAAAAGAGGTTGACCCAGTCTATAGATGCTGAGAAAGCTTTCGACAGGGTCAACTGGAACTATATGAATGCCACGATACAGCACTTTGGTATATGTGGCTGAATAAAGAAAGCTATTATGGCTCTATATGTTAATCCATCAGCCCGCACAATGGGTCCAAATATTTGTTCTCCTTGGTTCTTGTTGAAAAACAGAACTTGTCAAGGATGCCCTCTCTCCCCAATATTATATCTGCTGTCTATTGAATCTCTTGCAACCAATATAAGAAACAACTCAGAAACTAGCAGATATAACATTTTTGATAAGAATAAAAAAAAATCAGTCTGTATGCAGACTATATTTTAATTACTTTAACTAATCCTATCAAATCTATAACAACTCTTATGGAGGAGATTGAGCTCTATTTTAAGGTATCCAATTATAAGTTAAACACAAATAAGTCTCTGATTCTAGATTCTAACGTTGATGAGAAGAGCAAAGAAGAAATCAGGAATAAATATGATTTTCTGCAGGTAGAAGAAAAAAATCGAATATTTAGGAATTGTTTCAGATGCTGCCACTTGACATTTCCAAAAGTTTGCTCGATATGATCCAATATAGTTTTACGCAATATATGGAAGGTAAAAAAAAAAACCTTAAAAAAATAAATAAATATTAAGCCAAAAAATTCTAGCTCAAAAGATGGAAAAGGGAGGTATTGGTTATCCTATCATCAAGAACAATTATTTAGCCTCTACAATATATATATATATATATATATATATATATATATAAAAAACAAAAATAGTAATGCACTCCACCTTCCTTGATGTACTTGCCCGGTGTTTATCAGCAAACAGATACAGCCAAAAGTACAAGATAGCACTCCAGGGACTTCCAAGTTGAATGAATAAAACTTATCTTTTATTAGCTCAAAATAAAAATCAACGTTTCAGTCTGTATCACAGACTTTCATCAGGATGAGCTTGCAAATCAAATCCATAAGAATATATACCCTCAATATTCCCTTAACTTACCCAGGTTGAGGATAGGAGTGATCCCAGGGGTACCTGACCAGCAGCCTGCTCAGGTCAAACAATTGACACTGATGATGTCATAGACGTGCGCCTCCCTGGGTCGTTCCCATAGCAACCCAGTGTAACCAACAAAACAATACATATACATATAACTAAAAACATAGCCTGCATACAGGAATAAAATATAAATATTGAAGAAAGATATAGATTCAGGGATACATTGGTTCTTTGCTCTGCTGCTTGAGTGTTTGAGTTATTTATGTATTTATTTATGTGTTCATGTTGGACTAGACTGGGAGTAAACCAGTCATTCTTGGTACCCTCTTCTCTTTAGATCACTGCAGCTCTACTTAGTGGCTATACTTGTATCTTCTTGTTATTGTGCAGTACGTTCTTTTCCCCATAGGTTTAGTTGGTGGATATTTAATCACATTTATCTGGTATCGTCTTTTCATGTTTTCTCCCTTTTTGACTAAGAAGTTCTGACATTTATCCTTTACTACTCTTTTTACCTGTATAATGATATCTAAGGATTCGGAGTGATACATTACTCTTGGTACAATTATGCTTTCAATTGCTGTTTGTTGGTACTTTGCTCCCTGTAGTTAGATTGGAATCTCTGCAGGTTTGATTGCTCATGCCTGCATTTTATTTTTATTTTTGTATTTGTAGTATAAGTTACATGTCTTCTTTATGCATTATCTATTCCTTAGGTAGTACAGTTTGTATATTTATATCTTGCTAATAGGTTGCTACAGGCTAATTGCAATTTGATCGCTTTTCGATTAGTTCTGCCTGCTGTCTATCTCTAACGTGTTCTCTATGGATTTTCTCTGTATCTAAAGGGCCCCTGATGGGGTGTATAGGTCTTTCTTCAATATTTATATTTTATTCCTGTATGCAGGCTATGTTTTTAGTTATATGTATATGTATTGTTTTGTTGGTTTCACTGGGTTGCTGGGTTGCTACAGACTGAAACGTTGTTTTTTATTTTGAGCTAATAAAAGCTAAGTTTTATTCATTCAACTTGGAAGTCCCTGGAGTGCTATCTTGTACTTTTGGCTATATAATACAGAATGCAGTTAAAAAGCAAAATAAGGGATGGTATAAGATGGAAGCCAAGGTAAGAGATGTGGAAAATCAAAAAATTTTAATATGGGATACAACATATACAAAGAAAATAATATATCCCAATTCAATAATAGCGCAGTTGTTGAGGAAATGGGAAAAAAATCTAAATGGCTCTAAAAATTAATTTAAAAATTCCAATCTATCTTGACCTGAAATTGATTGAGCAACAAGTACCCGACTGGAATTTAAGAGAAACTTTTCTCAAAAGCCCTGTCTATAAGCAGATCATTTATGAAGGAAAAAAATCCAATCACTCTAGAAATATGGGAAAAAGAACTAAATGTAAAAATAGATATGAAAGAATGGGGTTCCTTATTGAAAAGTGTGATCAAAAATACCCACTATTTAAATCTAATAGAATCATATTTTAAACTACTTAATAGGTGCCATTTAGTTCCAGAGAGAATGAATAAAAATTTCCCAAATGAAGATTTTCTTTTTTTTTCTGGAGATGCCGAGCAACAATAGGCACATATCTACATGTATGGTGGTAATGTGCTGAGATTAAAGACTTATGGGATAAAACTTATCAGTTTATCTTTATAATTTTGAATAACAAAATAAAGAAATCTCCAGAAGTGGCCTTACTTCATCTTAACTGGCCTCCTATGCCCTTTGTGAACAAAATGATTATAATACATATAATTTTTGCCACTAAATTAGTGATTTAAATACTATTTTAACTACATTCAGTTGATAGAATAACAGTAACATCTTAAAGAACATTAAAGGTAACAGAATATATGGTTTGTATAAGCTTTAAGATATTATATATTAAGTCTAAACCCTGAACATGAGGAGTAAACAAAAATTAAAAATCTAATTCATGTATGGTCTAAAATGCCAGTGATTGTAAAGTACATACCAACAGAGGTGTGGTGGGGAAAAAAGTGTGGATGAAAACCCCTTCCACCTGAAGTGGATAGTTAATACATTCCTAAACACAAATACACATTATTTGCAATGTATTAACCACTTACGTCAGGTGGAAGGGGTTTTCATCCACACTTTTTTTCCCCGCCACAACTCTGTTGGTATGTACTTTACAAGTAATGCCAAGCCTCTATTGCAAGCAAGTAACCAACCTCATACTGATGAGTTGCATTAACAATGAAACAGCTGTCCATGAGTGGTTTTGCTCCTCTTCCTGAGTTGTGTTTCAAAGCTGTTGTATACAGCAGACACATACTCCAAAGAATCCAAGTATAAAGTGGAATTAGGAGGAAAAAAATTTGTTCTTTGTTGCACTCATTTGCGTATGCCTTCCCAGAATCCTTTGCAGTAGTGAGAGCACTGTTGAAGTGAGATTTCTGTGGGAAAAGCAAGTCTTATAGCTTGACTGGTATGTGTATGTGTGTTTAGCAATGTATTAACGATCCACTTACTTCAGGTGAAAGGGGTTTTCATTCACACTTTTTTCCCCACCACAACTCTCTTGGTATGTCATTTGATCCTGAGGAAGGTCCCTGTGTGGACCGAAACATTGATCTATTTTTTACTATGATGGAATAAAGAATCTTCATTTAACAAGTCCGTGAGTGCAGCCCACGCTTTGAATGTTTATATATATATATATATATATATATATATATATATATATATATATATTTATGAACCATAGAAAAAAGATGTATAGGTAATCAACAAAAATTAAATAAAATAAGAATGACAATAATTAGATATACCAGCAGTATCACACAATGCACAAGCAACTAATATAAATAGAAAAAATAAAAATATGGTGTGAGTGCTCCTAACAACAAAAGGTGTCCATAAGATAATAGTAAAAGAAAATATTTAATGATAAAATACTAAAGGTGGATATTCGATAAAATTAATTACAAATAGCAACATAATAATACATCAGCTGTCTCTTAAAAACGTAGTTCAAAATAGATAAAGAGAAATTAATCACAATTCTAATTAGCAACATTCAGGGTACTAATGCCGTACAAGCAACTAGAACCTGAATGAAACAAAGTATTGTGTTAGAAAATGTGACATTAAGATTGATAAAATCCAATGAAAAAATACCACAGAAGTAAAGTAACAGATACACTCAGACATAAATTGCAACATTCCAGGTTCTAATGCAATGAAAAACAAAGAGAACTAGGGTGTAGCAGTTAGAGGTGTTACTCTGATGTGTATTGATATCACAGACTAGCTCAATAATGAATCAACATGAGGGAAGGATGAAAATACACCCTAGAAAGGAACAGTAGTAAAAAAAAAGTAGGGGTATATGTACTAAATGGTGAAAACCATGGCTGATGTGACCCAAAAAGATACAATAAATATATGCGCAAAAGAAAGCACCAGCAACTAAGTAACTAGATTATTCCAGCAAATAAATCAAAGTAAATAAAGGATTATGGAAGGTAATATCGATGGGGAGCCCCCTCCACAGATGATAACGCTGTAGCGTGTATAATAAGTGATGGTAATGGTGCTGAAGCGTATATGAGGAATGATGAAGAGTAGCTCAGAACTGTGCTGAGACCAGCGAGCTCAACCCCTGATACCTGAATCAAATGGCAGGGTCATCCGGTGAAGCGCAGGTAAAAGACGGAGTCCTCTGATGTATGCCGTCAAAGGGGGAGCACAACCGACTGGGAACACGTGGTAAGCCGCAGCCAGTAACCTAAAAAAAGGCCGTGGCAATGAACGTAGAACAGCGTGAGGATGCTGATGTTGAGAATGACAATAATACGTGGAAGTCTACGTGGAAGTCTCTTCAGGGAGACTTTATCAAGACTGAATATTCTCTCCACTATTCGAGAGACCCTTGCAGGGTTTGTTGCTGTGGAATATCAATCAAATTAACCCTCACAGGGTTAGTTACTGTGGAAAATCAATCACACTATACACAATGTGTAGAATTAACAATACAAATCTAGATGATAAATGTAGATCAATCTGGTTAATAATACTAATATAATACAATCTCAGTCATAGAATACACAATGTGTAAAATCAATAATAAAAACCTAGATGATAAATGTGTATCAATCTGGCTAATAATCCTAAAATAATGTATATAGACAGGGTATAATCAATGATAAAAAAAAGCAGAGTAAAAAGCAGAGTAAAAAACAACCAAGAACAAAATTAATCGGAAATTCATCACAATTAGAGATACCGCTGAAGTGAAAAATCATCATATCATGGTTAATGTTTAAAAATAATAAACCAAAATGTTTTTATTTTTTAAATTTTAAAAAAAAAATTAAATTTAGTTTCCCCTCATAAAAGCAAAAAAAAAAAAATGTCTTTATTTATAAAATACAGATAGAAAGGGTAAGGGTTATATAGAGAAACAGACCACTTATGAAAACCAGGGACAAACTAATGGGAATAAGTAAGCGTAGTTGATCAAGTTCCTTGTTAAGACCATGAGAAGTGAGGGTATTAAGTTCGTATATCCATTTGGATTCAGCATCAATGAGGGGTCTCCTACGCTTAGCTGCATCCCCAATATTGGATATAATTTCGATGCCCATAACTGTAATATTGAAGGGGTTACTGTTATGAACATATAAAAAATGGCGTGCTACCGATGACTTCTTATCTTTATGTAGAATCGCATATCTGTGCTTCCTAAACCTAACTTTCAAAGGTCTTGTGGTTTGGCCCACATATTGTAAGCCACATTTACACATCAGGAGATAGACCATAAAAGTAGAATTACAGGTGATTCTATCTGTAATAGGGTAGGTAATCTCACTTCTAAAGGGTCCAAATGTCGTAGATTTGTGACACATAAAGCTGCATGTGAGACATCTCAAGCTCCCACATCGAAAGTTCCCAGGGGTAATTTGATTCATAGGTCGAGAATTGTTTATATTAAATTTGGAGGGGGCCAGAATATTATTTAAATTCTTACTTTTTCGAAAGTTGACCCTAGGTTCATCCGGGATGCTGAATTTAAGTAAGGGGTCTAATTTTAAAATGGGCCAATGCCTGTGTAGGATATGTATAATTTTGTCATATGCACAGGTAAATATAGTGGAAAAAAGGGACATTTGTTGGAACATATATCCTTAGTACTAATGGTATGTTTGTGATGAGTAATTTTCACTCATGTGTATATATATATATATATATATATATATATATATATATATATATATATCTCTTTGGAAAGGCACAGCATTAGAATTTAATGAAATGCTTGAATATATCAACCACTTACCGACCGCAGTTCATTTCACGGCCACCGTCAATGACATGAATATACAATTTTTGGATGTCACATTATACAAACAAGATGACCGCCTGGGTTTTACTCTCCATCGAAAATCTACTGACCATAACACATTACTAGGGGCTACCAGCTTCCATCCACATTCACTGAAAGATTCCCTACCTATCTCTTAATACATGAGAGTGTTGCGATACAATAGTGATCCAGTGAATAGAGAAAAGCAATTTCAGGATATGAGTTTTCGTTTCATGGAAAGGGGCTACCATCTTCACGTTCTTGACAAAGCGAAACAGAGAGCTATTACGATTTGGCAGAAGGATCAGGAAATCACACCCCTTACTGTTGCACAAAAAAGTCCACAAATATTTCTACCTCTTACTTACCACACAGGGTCCAATTTGATGAAGAAATCCATACATGAATACTGGGGGATCCTAGCTCTGACAAAAATCTACCAGATATTTTCAAGCGACCTCCTATCATCAGTTTTAAACAGAATGAAAATCTCAAAGATGTACTCGTCAGAAACGATCCTATCAAGAGCTACAGTAAAGATATGGGCTTTGCTAAAAAAAAGTTGCTTCAGATGTAGTGGCTGTGTCACATGCAGCCACATGGTCAATGGAACCAGTTTTGCACACCAACACAGTGGAAAAACAATTGCCATAGAGAGCAAAAAACAGTGCAAGAGAATACTGAGAACAGGCAGCAGCTGAAATAGCCTGCCCTTCAGTGGGTCCCCGCTCAGTTCTAAAGCTGGTTTTAGAACATCTCTGAAACATCTCAGACTGGTCCCACCCATACGGGCAGTCCAGATCCAAAATGCCAGCAAGTACCCCAGATGATCATTTCAGCCTTGTTAGGCATCATCAGTGAGGCATAGCTGATATCTCTCTAGGCACTGTGACCAAGGGGTCCACGTCTGCATTACCCTTTAAACTTATGTAGGGCAAAAAACAGGGCGCAAGAGAATACTGAGAACAGGCAGCAGCTGAAATAGTCTGCCCTTCGGTGGGTCCCCGCTCAGTTCTCAAGCTGGTTTTAGCTCATCTTGTGCCATCTTTGTTTTTCTTAATAGCATGGGTATTTATCCTGACAACTGGGGATACAGAATCCAGCCTTCAGATTCTCCCTTAATAAATCAGGATTCCTGTCAGCAATAACAAGTAAGGATTTTTACCTACTGAATGCAGAGACATAACCTGCAGTACTGTCAGGGTGAGCCCTTGACACTAAAGGGACCAGGGCAATTCAGGTACCACAACTCTTATTGGGAACCCCACGCTTATATATACGGTTACATCCATTTGACTGGTACCATCTCCACAGGGGACACACAGGGTATACAACCCCTGCACTATTGGAAGCTTTTAACGCCTCCCACCAATTCAGGGTTTCACTCCCTGACACTAGCCGCTCACTGCTACCGGCATTGAGATTCACTCTCACTAATTGGGTCCTTCTCACTCGTTAAGAGATTTATATTATGCCTGTGGGCATACCCTGATTGTACTTGCAGGGGACTCCCAGCAGCCTATACGGCCTGCTCGGACACTAATCTGTGTACTCTCCTCCATAGATACCACAAAATGAGTGATGCACCACCACAGACCCAGGACTTCCAGTCCATGATTAACGCTGCAGTAGCAGCATCAGTAGAGAAAGTACTCGCAAAAATGCTCACCCAACCTCCACCTGAGGTACACAACCTGCCCTCGAGCACATCCCCTTCACAGGGTGACGATCCGGCAGGATCCGAAAGATCCATTGTGGGCACAGCCCCTGTAATCAAACGCCACAGACCTGGCACAAAACCTGTATCTAGGTCTAAAGGGAAAGAGCTGGCAAAATGCACCAAATGGGTGGTGAGGCCTGAACCCAACCCACAGGCACCCTCCTCTGGGGAAGATGACAACTACCCTCCGGCTCTGAATATCTTAGACGAATAGAGGGCGGATGAATCCGCATCGGATGACTGGGATAACTGGCACATTCTGCCTCCCCATGACTGCAAATATGTGTCTGGTGCTGCCACTGGTGCTCCCTCTCCTCAGGGGTTGACGCATGACCTCTCCTCCCAGGAGGTAGACAGCCTTTTTCTGGACTCCCAAGGTTGCCCTTTGTTTTATCCTCGCACCATTAGACACCCAAGGTCCTAGCTGAGCATTTAACACGCTTTATGCATTTATGGATATGCAAACCTCTAGACAAAGAGGTCAGGGCGAGACTACGGGCGGAATGCCTGCGCCTCATCCTGCCCGATAAGATGGCAGTGACTCCGGAATTCGACCAAACGGTGGTTGTATTCATGTCCCGGACGGGAGGGGATCCCAGGAAAGGTGTTGAGAGAGGAATAAAGGCCACGCAGGAAAAACTGCTTGATCTCCTGGGACCTATTCAAAGATTCTATTTTTTTCGCCGATGAGGCTTTGGCCCACGGCTCGCAGATGGACCCCCACGCCATACGTGAATGGGCTCAAAGATGCATGTGCCTCCTCTGCGATGGATGGAGAGGCGTAGAGCTGCGCTAGTACACATGGATTCTAAGCTCATGAACATGGCAACCAAAGAACTGGGAGCTTTGGCCAACGGCCTTCTGTTTGGCGATGCCTTTATAGCAGAACTAAAGAAACACGTGTCTCTCTTTACGACACTCAACAAGGCCCAGACATCACAGCGGCAGGTATTCCGCACACCAACATCCTGTGGGGTTTTTGGAAGGGCTGGTAGGTAGAGAGGCTGTGCCACCAGACGATTTTGGTCTTCCGGACCCAGGCCCAAACCTCCATCGACATCATTCTACCCAAGTTCTGCCTACCGACAACCCACACACTATAAAGGGGCTATGTGGATGCGGTCTCTTCCCTTCAGGTAGGTCCCGCTTCATGTTACCCTTATATGACCTTAACTGCAGGGAGATTAGCTCTTTTCTTCCAGAACTGGAAGGATATTTTGACAGATTCCTGGATACTCCAAATGGTTCAGGGTTACAACATCGAATTTTCTGCAACCCCCACGCAACTACGTCCACCGCAACCCCTTCGGGTGTCCGCGGTTCATCAGCTCATCATAGACGAAGAGATACAGTCACTTTTCGCCAAAGGAGCGATCCCAGGGGCTCCTAGCGAGGGTGCCTTTATCAGCAACATCTTCCTGGTGCCGAAAAAGACGGGCGAATTTCGATCGGTCATCAACCTTCGACAGTTGAATACCTTCATTGTCTACCGACACTTCAAGATGGAAGGCATCCACCTGTTATGAGATCTCCTTTTGAAGGACGACTGGTTCACACGATTAGACCTAAAGGACGCCTACCTGTCAGTCCCGATCGCACCGCACTGCCAAAGATTTCTACGTTTCTCACCTGTCTACCAGTCGGCCTGAGCTCGGCCCCCTGGTGTTTCACAAAACTACTGAAACCCGTCATCACGCGCATA